CACTATGTCCTAGTGATGAAATTAAGGAAGATGATGGTGCTAGAGAACTATATTAAATATGTTCTCAGCTCTTCTGTGTCCCCTCCTCTGGAAAGCCTTCCCTGATTTCCCCTAGTGGAGTCATTTTGTTTTTGTTTTTGCTTTTGTCTATTCACTGAGCTCATCCTCCCACTGTCCAACTGTATTGTGGATTCTGCTAATTCCCCTGACCATCGCAGGATGAACTCCTTGAGGACAGGAATTGTATTGTAGCAGATGTTGTGGTCCCGGCCCCTGGCCCACCCTCCCTGGAGATCAATACAAGTTCCTAAAGTTGCTCTAGGCTTCTTCTTTGTGCCTGAGGGACAGGCCAGGGAGTTCAAGCCCCCAGAAGCAACCTGCACACATGAAGGAACAGAGTGGGAGTGGACAGACAACTAACCCAGCATCCACTCTTCTTGGTGGGACAATTCTGAGGTGTATTCTGCATATAGCCTCTTAGAGACCCACAGAGGGACTAAGCCACCACGTCACAGCAGTAACCCCATTAGCACACCCTTTATCGGCTCTCCCTTCCTCTCTCACCTTCCCATTCCTCACCAGGGTTTCTGCACTCAAATGAACTTCCTGCATTCAAAGCCTTGTTTCAGGGTCTGCTTTAGCAGGAACCCAAGCTAAGACAAGTATTTTGCTGAATCCCCAGTATTTAGTCACCTCGCTAACACAGTAGATGCTCACAAAAGTATTTATGAAAGTTAAGAATAAGTCCTATTATACTTGGAAAATCCAAAAACAAGAGCAACCAAAAACTTAACAAAAACCCAACTGGTGGCCTGGGTTGTAAGATCCAGAAGAATGTATCTACATTTCTGCTCCTTGAGTTTTGGTCAAAAGTCTAGAGTTTCCTAACAACAGTAACTATGTTATTTGTCATCATCATGTAGAAAAAGGAAAGCTAAGTGGCTAGGATCTAGCTTGGGATTCGGTAGAACCAGGCTCAGTCCTAGCCCTGATACCTGCTAAGTGACCCGAGCCTCAATTTTGTCATCTGAGAAAGGGGAGTCATAATAGTGTCTGCTTGCAGGCTTGTGGGAGGGGGTTTACTGAGATAAAGGATTTACTAAAGGATACAGCATGGTCCTGGCCCAGCTTGAAGCCTCAATGAATGTTCTCAGCATTACTATTTCTATCATTATACTTGTAGTGCCCCTGTTAGGCAGTCTTCATGTCTACCCAGGTGACAGATGGCAGCAGGCAGCCAGGGCCGTAACACTCAGCAAACAGTTACCGTATGAATGAATGAATGGATGGATGAAGTGATAATTCAGAGTAGAATGTAAAAAGCCTGCAACCACTCCTTTTGCAATAGTTCCTAAAATGTTTTCCTGTTCATTAATCCTACCTCTGTTACTAAAAACCATGTGAGCTTAGGACAGTCTCAGTCTCCAGTCCTACAGGTACTACCTATGAAACTTAGGTTAGCACTGGATTGTTTGTGAGGCCGCTTCCAGACCTTCACCTGGAATGAAATACACCCTAGGAAAGGAAGGCAGGAGCCACTCCACAACGGGAGGTTGGACAGAACAGCACAGGGAGCCACAGGCGGCGGAGGTGCTCAGCCTGGGCACTACTGGCTGACATTTGGGGAGGTAATCCTTTGTTGTGGGGCCCTGTTGAATAGCAGCACCCCTGGCCTCTATTCACTATGCCCCCAGCACCACCAGTGACAACCAAAATGTCTCCAGACATTGCCAGTATCCACTAGGACAGTATCATCCTTGATAGAGACCCCTGTGGTGGAGCTTTGCCTCCCTCAGTGACCCACACATCTGCCCCACAGTCCACCCCAGCTCCATAAAGGGCGGGTTAGGGAGGGGGAAACATTGCTCTTACCTCAGATGGCCTGTTATTTTTATTTTTTTTAAACCCTGGAATGCTACTTCTACCTGTTTCCCTCTTATCCTTCATTCTCTACTGCACTTCATTAAAAAAGAAGCCCTTTGGAAATAACCAAGCACTCAGGGCAGATTTTGAATTATATTGTTTTCCCCAGTCTATCATTAGCCTTATTTGCCTGCAAATAAGATTGATATTTTTAAAGCTCATCTACTTGCAACCCCAGAACATAGTCCCTTCCCAGGTCATTAGCATCCATTGATGGCATGAGGAACAGCAGGAGGCCTACATGCTGAAACCCAAATGGTCTTGACATGCAAATGTGTCATAAAAACCCAACCACGGCAGAAAATTTCCAAGGACTTATTAGCAACAAAGCTGCTGCTAACTAGACAGATCTGAGCGGTTTTCCAGGCAGTGGTCAAAGTTGCCTTACATTGGGCCAATTAGACCCGAAGTTCTCTGCTCAAAGTCGGAACCCTCTGACGAGGCAGGGCACTTGCCAGGCAGTGGGCACCACCAGGGCTCTGAGAACAGTGGTGTTTAATATCCACTGACTTCCAAATGGCTTTCTCCAAACAACAGGTTGTCTGGGTTCATTTATTCCTTCCTCTTCACCAAAAGCAAATTCCTGTAAAGACTGGAACCCAGACCTACATATGTGAACATGTTAGACTATAGCGATGGGAAGTCAATAAGCATAAAACTCCCACCTCTCTACACACTTCCCTCCCCTTTGAGCAGGGGTCAANATGTTAGACTATAGCGATGGGAAGTCAATAAGCATAAAACTCCCACCTCTCTACACACTTCCCTCCCCTTCTTTGAGCAGGGGTCAAACTTCTCTAGGGTAGCCTCACCCCACGCCTCCTGCCTTCTGATGATTTGTATGGCCTTTCCCTGGGTGCGCCAGCAGCCAGTCCCGCTACACACATGCTCCACTCCATGTCACTGGCCCTGTTGCTCTTCCTCCCTCAGGGCCCTTGCACATGCTGTTCCTTCTCCCAGATCCCTTAGCCCTCAGATCAGTGCCTGGCTGACTCCTCACTTCTCAGGCCTCGGCTCAAATGTCACTTTCTCAGAGTAGCCTACGCTGGGCAAACCATCTAACCAAGCCCCCTCCATTCTTTGTAGTCCCTGAACCTGCACTACTTTTCTTCTAGAAGCATTCGGTGCCTGAAGTTATATTGTCTATTCATTAGTTGACTTGTTTCGTGTCTGCTGTGTGGCTCCAGGGCTTTGTCACTCCTGCATCCCTGGTGCCTAGCAGGGTGTGTGCCAGGTGCTCTGTAAACAGTTGGTGCATGAATGAACATCTGCACTTGGGCTGACAAATCACAAGAAACAGAGAGGACCACCCGGGAGGCAGAGTGGGGGGGTTCCTGAAGGGCTGTTAGTCAAGTACTGCTCCATCGACCTCAGAGACTTCACCCACACCTTGGAGTCTGTGCCTTCGGTTCCCACTGCTTCAGAAAACCACACTTTCAGGCCAGTGCGGGGAAGAACAGAGAAGCGGACAGCATTCTGCAGAGAGCCAGTGGGGTTAATCCTTCCTAAACCGTCCTGCCAAGGTTTTTTTCCTGAGCACCCAGCTCACCGGTCTATTTTTAGGTCCCTCTATTAGTAACCTAAACAGTAAAAGCAGCGGTTGCCTCACAAATGCAGGATCAGCAGGCCCCTCGCATGTATGAACTTGTCGGGATAATCGCAAAAGGCACTTTTCCTTGAGATCATTAAAAATAATTAGTAAGAAAGTATTTTTGAACAAGGAGATGAGTGCTGCTGCAGGAGAAACATGCTCATGTCTTACATCCAAAAAATTAAAACCCCATGTTCCTTTATAAGGTCCTGGGCCTGTTGGAACAGGAAGATGCATTCCACAATTGCTTCGACTCTGGAAGGTTCTATACGTCCTCTGGCCCCTGCTTGGAGACTGAGGTTGGCTGGATAACCATCTCCTTCTCCTCCTGGTCAAAGAGGATGCTTCCCCAGGTGCAGCCTCTGCCCTGGTTTGGGTGTTCCATCCTTAACCAGCACTTGGAAGATTTTCTCATTTATTCTCTAGATATAAACCCCAAGAAACAAGCCCAGAATGCCACCGATAGAAGTGCAGTTTCCTGAGCTGAAGTGGCCTGGAAGCCCCATGACGCCACACCACCTCCAGAGGGCTGGAGCTCTCATCTCCAAGCCAGCCGAAGGTTGTAAAGGTCCCTGCCTCACTCGGCCATCATCCTGTGCCTTCCTTACCTCCCTCCTCTCCCAGGTAGAACTTTCATTTCATGAGCAGGAGGGCTTCCCTGTGGGCATCAAGTCCAATAAATAAAAATCTTCTTGCTTTGCCCTCATATAAGGCCAGAACGCATGTGTGCAAACTGGGTGTGTGGGTCCAGGAAAGGCTTCTTGGGAGAAGTGCCTTGAGGGGCAGCACCCAATGGAATATTGACTTAGCCAGGGGCAGGGTGAGTGAGGTGGGAGGAAAGGTCCAGGGGGAGGAAAGCGCACGGGAACAGTGTGAGAGATGGAGAGAGAGTGGCATGTTAGAAAACTGAAATCAAGCTCAGGAGGAAGCGCGGGGAAGGAATAAAAAGAAGCGATGGTTCCTCCTTGTCGGATCCAGATTAGGTGCCTCTCTTCTGTGCCTGTGCAGTGTCCTGACTGCCCCCCGCCCAAAAAAAGTACTTATCAGACAATAGCAGAGATGGCGGCCAAACACCACAGTTCCACATGTTCCCTTCCAGCATGTAGACTCATCGTGGGCTACACCTCCCAGTCCTCTTGGCATCCGAGCGGCGCTGTGTGGTTAGTTCTTGCCAAAGACATGTGAGAAGTGACGTACGCCACTTTCAGACTAGAGCATTTCAGAAATAAATGTACCTTCTTTCCGTTTCCACCAGTTGGACACAGGGTACACTGAAGTCCCAGGAAATTGTGGGGATGCAGGATGGAAGGAGCCCAGAGCCCTGAATCACCGTGTGGAGGGGAGCTACCTGCTGACCGAGAATTCTTGCCCTAGGATTTTAGGTGAAAGAGAAATAGTTTTGTGGTATATTAAGCCACTAAAACCTGGGTGGTTGCTTGGTACAGAAGCTAACATTACCCTAATATACAGACTAGGTAATACTTACTTATTTAGTTATAGGTAACCTCTTCTAGATGGTAGGAGTTCCCATTGTATTACCAGCACCTGGCAAAAGGTGGATATTAAATAAATATTTGTTGAATGAAAATAGTCCATTTGATGAGAAGAAGGGCCTTCCCAGAACTCCTGAAATCCCAATAAACAGAAATCTTCTTACTCTGCCATAAGGTCAGTGTGTGGGTGCACACGCGCGCGCATACANAGGGCCTTCCCAGAACTCCTGAAATCCCAATAAACAGAAATCTTCTTACTTTGCCATAAGGTCAGTGTGTGGGTGAACACACGCGCACACGNCACGCGCGCGCATACACACACACACACACCTGCACACACACCCCTAAGTTTCCACACCAAGGCCACATACAGTTCATGGCCAAACCTGCTCCGGCTGTCTTGTGATTCATATGACAGCAGAGACCATCCTAGGAACAACCCTTGCAGGATTCTGTTCCCCAGCATGGGTATCACACAGAGCCAAATACCGCAAAAGAAAATCGGAATAGGAAAGAAAAAGTCATCAAGAAAAATAGGCCAGATTTCTCATGATCTCATCCGTGAGTCAGATCTGCATTTGGGATAACAACTAACCAAGTAGACTAGAACAGTCTGTCTGCAAGATGTTGGCCTGCCAACTGCAACAGCACAGAGAAGGCACATTTTCTAAGCTGACTTAAAAGGACAAATCTAGTGCCCTTGTTTCTTTCTTTTTCCTTCAAAAAATATTCTGAAGTGAAGCAGCCTCCTGTTTAAAAATAACTCTCTTGGAAATTAAACTATAATGTAAAAAAAAAAGACAACACTGATTGCCAAGTACCTGCACCTTGCCATTTTGGGAAGTGGGAAAAAGTCCTGCAGAAATAAGAGTTTTTGCTGTGTGGCACTTAGAAAGCTGCCTCACCTCTCTGGGCCTAGATCTGTTCATGTATAAAATATGAGATTTAAATCAATGATCTCTAACAGTCTACAGAAGAAATAATTGTCAGTGGAAAGAAAACTGAATTTTTCATGCCTTGCAAGTCTTTTAATATTCATGGAAATTATTCCCAACAGAAACAGGGTATTTTTTATGGGTAGCTTAATTTAGGAGAATGTATTCATTCAGGACAGAACACGAGGTCCAAGGCACTGCAAACACAGTGGGTCTTTAGTCGTGAGAAGCAGAAATAGGATGCTTCATTCTCAAGTAACAGGCAATATGTGGACTATCGAGCCATGACTGTGGCAGGACATTTTCTTCTTTTAGAGATAAAGGAGACTTTAAGAATCATTAAGCACAATTGCTTCATTCTAAGTGTGGAGAAACGAGGACCTAGAGATGCTGGCTACCAAAGCTGGACAGCGGTCTGTCCCTCTTTTACTCTGGATGCTGGTCTGTCCCTCTTTTACTCTGTTGCCACCCTCCCTCCCAATCCTGCGTGGCGCCTTTTATAAAGACATTAACCTCTGTGCCACTCTGAAAAATCTCCTTGGAAAAAGGACCCACAGAGGAGCTGGTTATTCTACCTCACCTGAGGCTTGAAAATGATTGCTGGACTTTAATTCCCAAAGCCTCACCGAACCCTCGAGCCCACAGGCTGGGAACGCTTTCTGAGAATTCAAACAATAAAGCTGGGGTCGGGTGAAAGACGGAGAAGTAATCACACACCTCAGAGTAAGAGGATAAGTGCTCCTCAGAGTTCTGAGAATGGCAGCTACCGAGGGCTATAAAAATACCCTCTCGCAGGTTATCTGCCAGTTGCGTCTCGATAGCTTGGATTTCAGGTCCTTAACTCAGCTGTCCCCTTGGACCCTTTTCTCCCGCCCAGGTGCTGCCCTAGACTGACTGCTTCCCATTTTGATGCTTACCTGCAGTTTAAATCAGATCTCTGGTTCCTTCCAGGACAACGTAGTAAAGGCAAAAATGGAAATGAGGTCAATATTTGCTTATATATTCTTTCTATACCTCAGCCAACCCTCTCCCTTTCTTTCAAGTTTGTAAAAGGAAACCCAGGATTGCCCCGTTCAGCATCTGTCACACAGCAGGATCCTATTTTAGCAGCAACCCAGGCCCTCTGAAGCTGGGACCTGCATTTCATTAAAGGCGGTTCCAGGGAAATGGAAGAGTTAACCCCTTCTCATGTGTTCCTTTCCAGGCCTCTGGGAAATGGAAGTGATGGCCTACAAAGAAAATTGCATTTGGTTATTAGAATTGCTAGTGATAACAACAAAGGTGAAGGGTAATAATAGGCCAATAGACATGGAGACAGAGTTAAAAAGAACTTAAGTTCCAAACTTAGTTAAGCTCTGAATCAAAGAATTGCTCCTTTCCATTACCGTTAAAGGTCTCCTGTGCCAATGAGGGTACAGAGCTGTCTACACTCTACTGAACTGAAGTCCGTTTCCAATGCCAACTGGAAAGGCAGTGGCTTCACAAAAATGATGGGATTTGGGGCCAGTGGACCTGCCTTGGAAGCCTGGCCCTAACACTGACTACCCAGCTGGATCACTTTAGAAAAATTACTTGACTCTCTGAGCTTCTGGTTCCTCATCCATGAAATTGGACTAATAATCTACTAGGAAGCATAAATGAGATGCTGTGGACAAAGTATGCAGGAGGGACGTGTTAGCTGTTGAATTAAATCTCAGAGTTGGCGGAGCCATTAGAAGCCCCCCGGCCCAGTCATGCAAATCCAGACCTCAAGCCTCTGCTTGGTGCCTGCAGTTGAGGAAAGCTTCCTACTTTGCAGGCCAGTCCCTGACACTTTGAGACTGTAATGTTAGAAAAATTTCCCAGCGTGGAGCTGTATCTGCTCCTTTAATTTCAATGCTTTGGCTCTAGTTCCAGCTTCTGGACCAGAAATGCAGATAACTCTCAGCAGTCCTGCACAAGAGGGACACTGAAATATTTATTTGGTCATGCCATGGGCCTTCGTGGCAAACCTCCACGTGCAGGTATATGGAACCACAGAGAAGTGAAGGATGGATGTTTGCGGGGCTGTTTCAGAAGGGGTGCCATCGGCCAAGACAGGGAACAGAGGGGAAGGGGCAGGTTTGCGTGGGAAGGGTGATGAGCTCAGTTTGGGGTATGTTGCTCTGGAGTGGCAGAGGGTCGCCCAGGTGGAGACAGTAGGTAGACAATGGACACCGGAGCCCGGAGCTCAGGAGGAGGGTTCGGGCTAACGGTACAGATTTTGGAGTGATCAGTACAGAGGTGGGGGCTGAGGTTGAAATGTGGCTGAAATTGCCCAGGCGGGAAATGAGAACATCCGTGTTTAAGAGACAAAGCATAAAACCCAATCAAAAAGAGCGAACGGAGACAAAAGCTGTTGTAAAAATAAATTAAAGGGCTCCATGGAGAGGAGCTCCGAGAGAAGATGAAGATGAACTATTAAAGAGGTAGGAAGAAAACCAGAAGAGGTTTCACAGAAGCCAGAGAATGGTGTTTCTTTAAGGAGGACCTAGTGTCAACTGAATGAAATACTGAAAAGCTCCCGCTGGATTTGGCTCTAGAGGCCCACCCGTGATCACAGGGAGGGTATTTCAGTGAGGGGCTGGGAATGGAAATCAGGCGGCAGTCCACTGAGGAATGCATGCGAAGCTAGTGAAAAGTCAGTACAGACCAAGCTTTCAGGGAACTGGGTTGTTAAGGACAGAATGGCAAAGGGGCCTTCAAGAGGGATGGGGTTTGCGCATGGCAGAGAGGAGCCGCTCACAGCCAGGGAGAAGGCAAAGGCTGGGGAAAAATATACTGATCAAGTGTGATCCTTAAACTGAGCCCGGGAAGGAAATACGTAATGAATGGAGGGCCATTTTCTCAGAGGCAGAAGGAAAGAGCGCAGGTTGGATGTGGAAACAGTTGGTAAGGGAGGAAGCGGAACTGAGGGGTGTCCCCCAATTCTCTCTGCGAAGAAAACACTAAGGTCCCCAGCCTGGAGGGTGAGAGAAGAGTTAGAGTGGGCACTGGGGGTGGCAGGGGAAGGTGGTTGGGATCCCGTGAAGGGACTGTTCACCTGTCTGCCAGTCTGCGTGCTGATGCGTTTAGAGGCCACTGCTCTACAAGTACCCCAATCCAAATGCATGGGTGTTTTTTCTTATTTACTTTTTAAATCTTCATTCAAGAATATGTTTTTGTTGATTTTTTTTTTTTTAAGAGAGAGAGAGGAAGAGGTGAGGAGAGAAACGTCGATGTGAGAAATTAACACTGATCGGTTGCCTCCCGCACACGCCCTGACTGGGGTACCAAACCCGTAGCCTCGGTACGTGCCCTGACTGGGAATCAAATCTGCAAGCTTTTGGTGTTTGGGATGATGCTCCAACCAACTGAGCCACCCAGCCAGGGCTGTGGGTGGTTTTTTTCACTCACACAGATGCTTAGCAGTCAGGACAAAGGGGCAGGAAGTGCTGGTGGTTGAACTTATTTGGTGTAGGGATTTTGGATGGTGAGAAGAGCAAAAGGAAAACAGATTAGGCAGTTCAGAATATTGGCAAAGGAGCTGATCAAGTGACGGTCCATTGGGGTGTGGGCTGGAAGGGGACGGGCTTGGAAGGCAGCTATGATCTTCCCTGCAGTCCCTCCCAACAACTCCTCCATCCTGGACCCTGGCCTCTGGATATGTTACTTTAGGCCATGCGTTGCCAGGAGCAGCACACGTTATCTAGATGTGTGGGGCTAGTGCAGAGGGTCAGCATGCTGTTTCAGGGCCCCTGACGCCTGGGATTTACCTTAATCTAAATCACATCACAGGGCTGTACACACTGATCACAGAATCAAATGAACTTCCTACACAGTTTGCACAAAGATCTCCATGAAAGCAGGTTCCCGACAATCCCGTAATAAATGCGATTGGTTTTTTCCAGACATAAGTGCAAAACTTTCGCTTGAGCCCCTTGGCTGGTGCCCGCAAGCCCTGGCCTATCCCGTGAGTCTACTTTGATTCTGACGCTGGCGTGAAATGAGGTCACTGTGTTTCCCAGATCTGGGTCATGAGCAAATGGGATAAACATGTCATCCACATTTTTATTAAAGTCGGCAAAAACGTTGAACGGGAGCAGGATAAATCCAAAGGCAGAACTGCGTCTGACTCTCACTACCAGAACCTTCTCTCTGGACGGACACCAATCTATCACCCCCTTTGCACGGGCACGTAGCCAGTCAGCTACAAATCACCAGGTGCTGCTACTGTCCAGTCTACACTTCTCCATCTTGCCCACAAAGATGTCCCAGGGGACCATCCAAACACCTTGCTGAAAAGTCCAGATACGCTGTGTCAACAGCTTTCCCATGATGTACTGGTCTGTAACCTTATCCCGGGTGGATAACAACACAATGAGCTTTTCTTTGCTTGTGTCTTGTACACCTACAACCAGATGGAAATCGGTTTATGACATTTTGCTGCTTTATAACATTTCCTGTCTCACCATGACATCACTTTTCCCCAGGCCTAGACCTTCAAAAGGCCACAAAGGTGTTAAGAACTTAGTTTCTAAACCTTCCTCCTACTCCGGTGTATCGGGTTGCCTGATCTCCCAGGCTGCTGAAATGAAGAATGCTAGCTTGCTAATGAGACTGTAATAGAAAAGCCCCTGCCACAGAGAGAAAAGGGCCCTATAAGGTGGACCCCTTTGCCCTGTCCTGGAGCTTCCTCCCAGCAGCCCTAAAAGGCAGTTTACATTGTATTTCCTTGAATCTAATTTTGGAAAAAAGCGAAATGTGATTGCATCTGAGCTATCTTGAGTACATCATTTTCAAACAGGGTGCTGAAATCTTAGGATTTTAAATCTTCCAAGCTATGTATTCAGTTGCTTTTTAAAAATCTTAAAATGAGAAAGATACAGAGCAACAATATGCCAGAGTGAAAAATACCGGGGCGTTTATGAAGCATATAATCCCTAATTACGCCAAGGGTGACACCCCTTTTCGTAGGCAATGCCGCCAATACATTCAACAAAAATAGTTTAAGCAATTCATCAACATCTTTTTACCGTCTGCTGCTGGGGACACAGAGGTGAAAGCATGGCCAAGAGCCCTTGAGAGTTTACAGTCTCGTCTGGGTGGGCATCAAGGAAAAGAAGACACTTTCTGCCCTGGCCAGGTGGCTCCGTCAGTTCAGCATCATCCTGTAGTACACCAAAAAATTATGGGTTTGATTCCCGGTGAGAGCACATACCTAGGTTTTGGGTTCAATGCCCGGTAGGGGCACGAGCGGGAAGCAACTGATGGATGTTTCTCTCTCACATCGATGTTTCTCTCTCTCTCTCTTCCCCCTCTCTCTCTTGGGGAAAAAAAAGATACTTTCAGCAAAAGGTTCACCAACCAAAGCAGCATGTGCTAGATGTCAAGTGAATGTGCCAGGCAGTGTGTGCACCAGACATTCCAAGAGGCTGCAAGCACTTTTCAAAAGGAATGAGACCTCCTGGGTCTTAAGGGACGGACAGAAGTTAGGCAATGGGTAGGTGGGCATTCTGGGTAGAGGGTGTGGAATAAACTGTATCACCCTTGTAGATGAAAAAAATCAAGCTGGGTCCAAATCCCCTTGTACTTTTCAAAAATAAAGAGAAAAAAGCCTTATGCTCACCTGGGAAATTAACAAAGAAAACACTTGACTGCAATATGGGGTCTGTGCCTTCCCACAAAGTTCAGCCAAGGTCACACGGGAATGAGTGTCCACTACATTCACTCTAACAAGATTCTCCGATGAGAGCCCTGATATGCTATTATACACAGCACAAATTCCATTAAAATCATCCTCTGCAATTTAAGTCTTGAGACTAATGGATTTTCTAAGAATGCAACAACATAGGCCACAGAGGTAAATTCGAAGGAAGAAAAACAAACAATGGTTTGCAACCCTCGCTCCACATGAGAACCACCTGGGGGCGTTCAAAAAATACCAAGGCTTGGACTCTTCCTCTTACCAATTACATCACAGTCCCTGAGGCACAAGCATTTAAATGAAAAATACCAGTGATTCTAATTCATTTTCTCATTAAATATCTTCTGAGTGCCTACTATAGGGCAAGCATCGTTCTAAGTGTTGCAGTTACAAGAGTGAATCAACAAGATCCTCCCCTTAAAATAAGCCTTCAGAATTTACATTACAGTGGGGAAGAGCAGACAGAAAAGCAAATTACATCACTGAAATACATGCTAAGAAAACTGACAATGTGCTAAGGAGAAAATAAAGCTGAGAAGGGGGATGCAAAGTCTCAGGCTCAAGTAGGGTGACATGAAAGACTTCATCAAAGGTGACATTTGCACCAAGACCTGAAGGAAGTGAGGGAGCAACTCAGCTACATGAAAGAACCTGCCAGGTAGAGGGAACAGAAGGTGTAAAGGCCCTGGGACAGAAGCATGTCAGTGTGGCTTGAGCGGAGTGAGAAAGAATAGAGATGAAGTCAGAGAGGGAAGGGCAAGGGCAAGGGGAAGAACACCAGGGCCTGGTAATCTATGTAATGAGTACGGCTTTACTCTGAGTGAGATGGAAAGCCACTAGGAAGGTTTGAACAGAGAAGTGACATGATCTGATTTCCATTTTACTAAAATCACTCTAGCTGCTCTGCTGAGAGCAGACAGTGAGGGAAGAGGGGAAGCGATAGCAATTGAGCAATTCCTAAAATAGCCCAATTGAGAGATGCGGATAGCTTGGATGAGCAATGGTCAGGGTTCTAGGTATATTTTAAAGAACTAATCACAGACATAGCATCTGGAAGGGGCAGGGTGGGAACTTGGTTTTAGACGTTCAAGTCTGACCATGAGACATTCAGTGGGATAATACCTGAATTACCATTCAGGTTCTTCTCTCCCACCCAGACATGTTGGTTTGACACTGGTTTCATTCACTTAA